TACATTCTCCCCTTTGAGGAACTCTTTGGTGCTCACTGTGAAGACTTGGAAACTATCCTCACTGAAGTGATTCTGAGAACATTTTTGTTAGTCAGTTTTTATTTTTGGACTGTTTAAGAAGATAATTGTTTTAGATTTTGCTGTCAGATTGTAAATTTACCGTAATCGTTTTCCGCTTTTTGAATTCATTCTTCACTGCTTTCTTGACTTTGTTTCTTTTAGAAAGGAAATAAAAATTGGATGTAAAAGTAATTTATTGTTAGTATTGTAATGGAAAATTTCAATTATTCTTATTTAAGGTTCAAATTTGTGTGCATACTTAGTTGTGGTACTGTAATGAAAACTTCCACTGAGCAGTCTAAAACTAGATGAACTTATTTCAGCCTCAGTAGTTGAAAAAATAACTCCTTTTGCAGGTGGTGATAACGGCAAGAGCACGAAACAGGATACACATTGTTCAGTTAGGTTTCAGAGCGAGCTGCGTCACGTGCTGTATGATCACTTTCGGACTTCCTCACTTTTTTGAGGAATAAATAAAGGTGAGAGCTGCACTTCTGTTTCAGAGACTGCATGATGGCGCCTGACTGCGTGTGCTCTCTCTCATGCGCATGATAATAACGAATGTTCATTACAGCCGAATGTGTCTGTGGACTTTGTTAATTAAATTTCTACAACAGTATTTATCTAATTAGAAACTTATTAAAACACATATACATAGATTTTTTTTTAAATGTATAACTTTTAATAATGACTTTTAAACAACAAAGCAACAAAAAAGTGAAGTGTATGGTCACCATGTGTATCTGTGCCAAACTTTCTTTGTAATTTGATTTTTTTTGTATATTTGACTTACATATCATCTGGTTTTTCATGATCTGACTTGGTGCAGATAAAATGAATTTGCTGACACTCGCCACCATTTCCCAGCAGGCTGCTGGCATCTTCCAGGACTTCCCAGGCTTCTTTTTCTGATGCTGCTCGAGTCATTTCAGTCACAATCCACACTGTAGAACAACTGGCAATAAGCTGAAAAGGAAATGAATGCATGTAAATTATAAATAAAAAATGCTTTGAAGAAAGATAACATGACTTCTGTGAATTACCTCTGTCCACATTTGATCTCTGCTTCTGTTAGAGTCACCGTTTCCAGGAAGGTCCACGAGTGTGACATGATCAAGAAAATCATTGTCTGGCACTTTGACAGTCACACACTTCACAAGTGGCCAGTACCACCTCTTTACTTCTTCTGTCTCATTTGACTCACTTCTTGTATATCTCACAAATTCTTCAGACAACCCTTCAGCCTGCAAAAAACAACAACAACAACAAGATAAATACAAGCCAATTGAATGTATGTGCTCATAACAAAG